TCTAGTGAATAATTTATTTTAATGAAAAATCTTGACTGGCTATTTGGGAAAGTTCATTGTCGCAACATTTTATTTGTTTGTTTTTTATATACATATATGTATATACTTGACATGTTTTTGTTATGTCTATTTAAATATAATTTGTATAATTCAGGCAAATCATCTTAAAATGATACTGTTCAAATGTATGTTACAGGAGTACATTATCTAGATCAGGGTTGTTTGACAATCATGCTGTTCGACTATTGATTAGAAATTCACTGTTCGTTTAAAAGAAACATATTTACATATTTAAAATTGATTAAGCACCGTTTGAACTTCATTTATTTACATTTCAGCTATGCACCCCAATTTACTGAGAGCTCTAGAATCAATTATAAATAATGATAAGAAGGTATTATACCAGTATATAAAATGCTGCTAGACATATTGGTACAAATATAGCGGTTTCTCTAGTTCTAGTTCCAGTTCCCAGGCTGAGTCTACCTTCACAAGGGCACCTTAGCTGGCACATCGCGCAATATAGTTCAAGAGTAAACATATCGTCTGTTGCATTTGTAATCGCGTGACAGTAACCGTCTGTCCCACCACTGCATATATAATTTGTTAAAGTGCCTAAAATATAAACAATAAAATAAAAATTTTCTAATATGGGAAAGAAATGCGCAGTTACCAGATATTTTTTTCTTAGGTCCAAGACAAACATCCAGTTTTGCGTCAGCTGGATCATCTGCTGTTTTGTCAACTAGTTTAGACTGATCGTAAGTCTTAGCGAACGCCACAAAGTTTGCGGGAACTTTGCAGTTTTTCAAAGCTTTGCAATTTAAACATATTGCTTTACCATTTACATCTGTAAAATGGAATTGAAGTGTAGTTAAGACCAAAAATGTATATGTTTTATTTGCATTATTTTCACTTTATAGTGACTTACTGGGAACTAAATAAAGAAACGTCAGGCTCGAATATATGAAAATAAATATTGAAATTTTGAGTCCATCCATCATTAAATTTTTTTTAAATGCCAAATGAGAGTGAGTCAAAAATTTGGAATTCAATATGAATTAACCTTTAAATATATTTGAGCAGTTTACTTAGTTTTGTAAGGATTTCAAGTAATATATTATTATATTATTAATAAAATTGGGGGTTGAATGAATTATTTAATTTAAGCAAACAGCTTGACTGGCTATTTGCCTCTACAGTCACCGCCGCCTTCAACTGCCGGGGAAAGTTCTGTGACGGCACCTGTGAACTCCTTCAACTGCACTCAACGAGCTTGCGTAATTCCTTAGGTAAATTTATAATTACTGTAAGCAACTTGAACTAGTTACGCTAGCAATTGATGTTCCGTCTCTGCCTGGTCCTTCTCCTTGCACTTGCCTCACTTCACAAAGCAGCAATTAGCTAGCAAATATGCACCTAGCAGATACCCTCTGCCATAATTATAGATCTATAATTATATAATTTTTGCATTTTAATTTAAATCCAATCATTGATATAACATAAATATCGACTTGAAAAATAAAACAGAGAAACATTTTCTAGTAATATTCTCTACAATATATTGGTTACTATATCTTTCGATCTTTTCATATTCTTATCTAAAATGTGCCCTAAACACTCTAAAATATCAAAAAATTGTATCCCTTTATTCAAGATATAGATTCCAATGGGCTTTATGATGTCTTTTTTCCCTTATCTCACTTAAGCTACTCGACCTACATTGCAATCATTAATAGTGCCCAATATTGATTGTTATTGATATGCCAAGTTAAACGCTTTTCGGCACTCTCTACGGTCTAGTCCATATCCAGCCTGGGCACAGTTTAGTCATTCTTTAAGAGTCCAGGGTGTACTAATACAACAAAAATATAAAAAAAGAGAAAACGCAAGTAAAGAAGAGGCAAGGTAAAAACTCGTATCAAGTTTTGTCTAGCAAACTGGCGTCGGGGCAATCTAATTTCCATTTGCACTGGCCACTGCACCCACAGTGCCCTACGATTGCAGCCTCGGCAGCTACTAGCATTTTCATTAGTTTTCCATTTTCAAGCACTCGCACCTGGCCGACTGTAAAAGTTCTTTGCGCAATGAAGTGCCATTTTTGGGCGCCGGTTGCAAGAAGAGCACTTCCTCAGAAAGAGCGACAGAGAGAGAGAGAGAGAGAGAGAGAGACAGAGTGGGTGAATATACTTCGTGCAAGTTTTGCATTTTATTGATTTTAATGAAAATGCAATTAAAATTTTAGCATTCGATAAGAACACTCGCCCAGTACACAGCATTAACAAGCCGAGCCAGCAGCACAGAGAACATGATTTATGCCATGTTTGACATTTTAATTATGCTCACAGCCAGCCATCCAAATATTTATAACAATATAAAAAATGTGTACATATATATTATACAATATGTATAATATATGTAAATGTATATACATTACATTATTTTTAATCAAATTTCATCAGAGTTCTTGTTTTTCATAAATTATGCGGATCGTTTGTTTCTGCTGCTGCTGCAGCCAGTCGACTGCATTTTGCCGGTGCATTATTAATGTTCAATTAATTGCATTAAATTATGCCTGTAAAACATTCCGTTTATGCACTTAAAGTGTACTCAATGGCGCTGACAACTGTATATTACAGTCTGACTCTGTTCTATATACATATAGACTCGATTATATATAGTGATCAGGCGTAGAAGTGTGTCTACCTATCTGTCCACTTGTCCTCTCTATCAATTCGTCAGTCGCTTTCTCTGTACTTTTACCTTGCTCATATATGTTTCTGTCTTTATCTATATTGATGCTGTTGTTACTTTAATATGGAATTCATCAGCCCCCACTCCATTCGCATTAAGTAATTGTCATCGCTCGCCGCATAAAAATCCAATTAATTTTTATATCGGACTCGTGTCAGTTTTTGCCATAATACAAAAGCAGCAGCAACAGCAGCATTGGGATCCTGGCGTGCGGGCCAGCTAGGCGCAGCGCACAGGACATTCGCAATTAGTCAACAAATTTAACACAGTTCATTGAACAAATTTCAACAAGGCAACCTAATGACATAATTTGCCAGGCTCTTCCACTCCCACACACACACACACTCAGTATCAATCTCTCTCTCTGTCTCTCTCTCTCTCTCTGTCTCTCTCTTTCTGTCCCTCTGCTCACATGTAGCGTTGCCTGGGTCAATTCGTGTAATTGTTATGGGCACTGACATGAGGATGAAAATTACAAGCTGCTAAAGATTAATGATAAGAAATTCATTAATGAAGAAATAAAATTTCATATAAATTCGGATTCATGATGTGTTGATTACGATAACCTGACCAAGCGCTTATCCCCCTCTCTTTCTCTCTCTCTCACTCTCTCTCGCCTTCTGTGATTTTTGCTTTTACAGAATGATCTCTCTTATTCATGAGCTGTTTAAATTTCTGCTCTTTTGCATATTTACCTTGTTATTTTATTACGTGGCGGATATGAGCAGAGCACAAGAAATAAAATAAAGATGAGACAGCAGATGAGACAGAGGCAAGTGGAGAGGCTGGCACATAAACAGCGCGAGGAACATTGTCACAGCAGGAAGTCAAAAGTCAAATGTTTTTTATATGCAAAAATATTTCATTTCCTTCAGCGACAAAATGAAACGAAATGTTAAAAAATAATAAAAAGGAAGTATATATACAATATATATAAATATACATGTATATATGAAAAAAATGCGACAAAGTAAATTCGTTGTAAGGGAAAAAGTATCGGGATCCCAGTACAAGAAATGCAAATAAAAAACTGCAATAAAAATCTGTTTAACATGAACCGAGGGGACGCACAAAAATCTACAGCTAGTCAGTCAGTCAGTCACTCAGTCTGGCGTTCTGCCTGTCGCTTTGTCCTTGCTCCTTTGCCATAATACACTTTACAACTTATGAGTGCTAATAAAATTCACTCGCCATATCCTTGACAATTCACAAAAAGTGCGCCAAGGTGCGAGCAATGATAAAGACAGCAGCAGCAGCAACAGCAGCAGCAACAACAACAACAGCAGCAGCAGCAGCAGTAGCTGAGACTACGATAAGGTCGCCTTATGGACAGCATAAAATGCGATTTCATTTGTGTGTTCACCTCTTCTTCGTTCTTTACATCTTTTCCAAGTGGAACACTTGCCCGCACAATTTCTGCAATAATTTCGCAAAGGATTATGCCTGTTCGTTCTGGATTTGCATTCGAAATGTTACTCTGAGCCAAGTCCAATGAATATTTCTTACCTCTTTTTTAATTTAAATTTCATTTTTAAAGTAAGAGCAACATTGTCCACTGAAAGCTTTTTTCAGCTTATAAATTGTATGCTTTTATGTTGAGCTGGAAATTATAAAGTTGAGGCGGATGAAGCAAACAAGTCTCCATTCGGGTATGACTAGGATTATACACTGAACACCGTCTGAACTACTTTTTAAAGAAAATTCGATTCCTCTACTGATATATGAATTTTCTAATTTTTTGTATTTCTTCTATTTAATTATTTAATTATGATTGTTTGATTGTGACAGTGATTGAATTTGGGTTTGTTTCATTTTATGCTTAATCTAAACTATGGAGACCGTACTTAGGAGATTTTCTAGTCGCGAGTTTTCCTACTTGTCATACTGTTTTTATTTTCCTATCTTTTTTTATGTGAAGTAACTTTAATTAATTTCTTCACTTTAAATAAAAAATAAAATCTATGTAGACCGTTTAGAAAACTACAAATTACAATAAGAACAATTTATTTTAGAGGCACGCATAGACAGGGCTAAATTGCCTTAATCCTCTGTAGAACCGAATTGGAAAATGTCAATAGCCTTCAAATTGTTGTCTAGGATTGCCTCACATCACCATGTAAAATGCTGCTAGACATATAGCTATGATTATAGCGTCTTCTTTTAGGACACTTTCTTCGTTGTGGAGGCCGCTGCGTAGGTGGCTTATACGTGGACAGGCGCACAACAACATGCACGATGCACAGTGCATACCGATTTTCAGCGGATCTTCTGTGTGCTCCGCTATCGTGTGGCACATGCTATCCTCGCCAGCAGAGCATATGGTATCCGAAATAGTGCCTTATATGGTGTAGTGCATAGTTGAGAATCAATTATATAATATTATGAATCAAATGCGCAGCTACCAGATATTTTGTGACCTGCTTTCAGGCATCTATCCATGTTCGGGTCAGCAGGATCATTTGCTATCTTTTCAACTATCTTGTCCTCATCAACCTTCTTGGAGAACTTTAAAAAATTTTTCTGTACTTCACACTTTTCTAAAATTTCGCAGTTGAAACACCAAGCTTTGCCGTTTACATCTGTAGGATTGAATTTTTAATTAATTAGTAATTATTTTATTATTATTTATTTTTAAGATTCTTTATTTGTGCATCAATAAAACTTACTGGGAACTAAAAAGAGTAATACAA